TTTCATATATTTATATATATTATATATATGTATATATCAAAAATATATCCAAAATGCATGTGGGTACTCAAATGACAGCTCTTAATGAGTATGACATCAGGATGAGCTTATATAATAAAAAATGTCAATAATTAAGAACTGACATTGCTATCTTGTCAACTATTGACATTTTTAAAGATATAAATTCACCCAGACATTACACTCATCAAGACCTTTCATTTGAGTACCCACATCAACTTTTCATATATATGTGTATATATTCACATACAAAATAATTTAAAAAATAATTTTTTGGGACTTGGATGATATTTCTCGATTAGTTTCTAAACAGAATCTATATAGATTTTTTCGATTGCGGCTAACAAAAGGTATTTAATTTAATAAAAATTTATAATCAAAAATATCTAATAATAAATACTCTTCATTCTTAATATTTTGTATTTGAGTAAGCGTTATTTGTATCTCAAATGAAGTTCCTTTTTTTTTATTTATTTAGAAGTGCGAATTTAACTTCTCGTTAAGAAGATAAGAAATTTTCAAAAATTAGTAATCGCTAGCCTGCACCAAATAAATCGGTAGCTTGCACCGAAAAAATCGGTAGCTGCTACCGATTTTTTCGGTAGCCTCTACCGAAAAACTCGGTAGCCTCTACCGAAAAAAAATCGGTAGCTGCTACCGATTGGTGATCACCAATCGGTAGCATCTACCGATTATTTTTTTCCGTGTACACTGTAATGTAGCATCTATAATTCAATAAAAATTCTTATTAAACGGGAAAAAAAAAATTAGAAAAACGGTTCACCCTAAAGGCCATCCCTGCAACTTCCCGCTAATTCCATTCCTGGACGCTTAAAATTGACATTTTAAAGATTTTTGAGCTCAAAATATAATTTATGTGATATTTTGAGCTCACTGAGTTCAAAGAAATAATATTTCTATGCATTTGAGCTCTCCCAGCTCAAAAGTCTGATAGAAGTTTCATAGAACACTATTTTTCGAATTTTCAAACCGCAATAACTTTTGAATTGATCAACCCCAATTTTCACGCGGTTGGCGGCATTCGACGCAGTTTTATCATCCTCATAAGTTATTTTCAGGTTTTCATTGATCGAACCAAAAATTTCGGAGTAATCCCGAAAAAACACTTTTTTCGGTTTTCTTTCGTTCACGATATCTCTCGAACGAATCAACCGATTTTGACCGGATTAGCGATGATCGGCGTGGTTTTTCAAGCTTAAGGGCGGATTAGTTTTTGAAGTTGATCGATAGAGCCGTTTAAAAGATATTCCAAAAAAACCACTTTCAAAAATGATTTTTTTCTTATTTTTTTTGAGATTTTTCAAGATTTCTTAAAATATATCTGTCCGAATCGGTTCAAATTCTCAGGAAATCTAAGTTCGAGGGAACTCTTTAGAACGTTGTTTAGTTCGTTCCGATCGGTTCAGTCGTTCAAAAGTTATAAGCGAATCACATAGTCACACACACACACACACACACACACACACACACACACACACACACACACACACACACACACACACACACACACACACACACACACACACACACACACACACACACACACACACACACACACACACACACACACACACACACACACACACACACACACACATATACATACAGACATAGTGACAACATCGCGGGGGTAGTCAGGGAAGCTTCCTGTGACCCTCAAATGTCGAGATCTGATGAAAACTCGATTTTTGCAAAACGGGGTGAAAACAATAACTTCCCGATTTTTGAAAATCTGAGATTTTTAGCGGGAAGTTAAAAATAAAAAGATGAATTTCACTTCAATTTCAATATCCCCATCATATATATCTCGGAATTAATATACGCTATGTGTATATATACGAGCATATATTTTTGGGCAAATCTGAAAAAAAAATTTAATCATGCCTACAATTATACTGCTTTTATTGACATAAATGAACGACAAAGATAAAAATAGAAGTAAATAAATTATTATTCATTTGATTTATCAGTGAAACAAATTTAAAATTTTTGTATATGATTTTGATTCAATGGGTTTACCTACATGTACGCTTTATTATAAGTATTTTCTTTAAGAACTGCTATTAGTTATGTACCCGCCAATGACACTGTTAATCATACAACCATGACTTACGCTGTGTTACATCAAGTAAATTATATACATACATATAATATATGAATATATATACATACATTGCTAAGAAAGTATAATAAAAATAAATCTGGTCATTAAAAATCAAAAGTATTTTTATTTAATTTTTTTATCACCAAAAGTATTTATTTATCCTAAATTACTCGTTCAAGTAATTAGTGTATGTGACACCTTAAGCGATACTAAAGTCTGACTTATTAGTTGTAATTATTGAATCATCTTGAACTATTTACCTAAAAATAAAGAAGAAATGAAGAATATATTTGATTTTTATTCTATATGTTTGTATAAATCTAATTGGTCAATTTTTAAACGACAGGATCACTTGATGACCTCGTGCGAGAACTATATATAATTATTAAGATTGAAAGATATATTAGTTTAAATATCAATAATAAAAGTCTATGTAATGTTTCAAAAAATTTCATCATGTTTTTTATGTAGAAATGATAAGAGCTCAAAGTCGTTAATTCAACTAATCACCTTTTTGAGTATTGTTAAAGAAACATCACATTGTATATCTATAGATGTGAAATAAAAATAATTAAGATTAGATCTTTCATGAATGTACGAAGAGATTTAATCTAATCGAAAAAAGAGAGGGAAATTTAAAATTATTTATAATCCCTACTTCTTTTCTTCAGTTGAAATTGAATTGACGCAAAAGTGGACGACCATTCTGTTTAGGTATTCCCCGGTGTCAGTGAGTTGTTGTTCGGCGTATAGTTCACACGGCATTTCAAACATACCTCAACTAACTTAGTTGAGGGTTCGTGTTTCTTTTTATTTATTTAACTATTTTGTTTCTTAAATTTATTTAATTTCTACCATTTAAAGAATTTACAATGGATTCTTCCCAAGTAAGTTTATTTAATAATTAATACTTAACTATGGGAAAAAAATGATTAATTGATAACAGTGTCTTTGCCTTATGTTTAACAACAATTACCTGTCAGGTATCAATAATGTTGATGACAAATTGATGTTGTTGAAAATTTTTCTTCGATAAAATTCTTAAAGTTTAAGTCATGTTTTTTAATACTAACTTTAGAAAAATAGCAATTAGTTTTTCAATAAATGTATGAACAGAATGATATGGAACTATATAAATTTTATCATACCCTATTTAATTTCTAACAATTGTATGTACGTACGTAAAAACCAGTTTTATTTGTACATATATTTTACCTAATTACTGGCTCTACTACATTCACCCACATGTGATTTTTTTAAGTTCAGTATTCATTCTGGTTTTGAAAGTGAAAGACAGTTTTATTTTAAATCAAGGATAAATTGTCAAAAGTTCAATTGTTTATTCGCAATTTAATTAGATTTATGATTTATGAAAATTATAATTTACTAGTAGGTATTACATAAGTATCTTTCTGCACGATGTGTTGTTCAATTATCTTCTTTCGATTGAGAAAATAATTTTTTCAAACGTGACCTTCTTATGAAAAAAACTTATTAAATATTGAGAGGTAATATTTCTTAAGATTAAAACTTACAAAAGAAAATTATATATGTATATATATATATAACCAATTTTACTTGTATACCTATTGGTTTTTACAAGACTGTAACCTATATTTTTTCCACTTTGTTAATTACCACCGTAATTCCACTTAAGTGTAAATGGCTAGAAGAGGTTTCCACTTTTTTTTTTTTTTTTTTTGTGTTTATTCCACATATTCTTATTCCAATGCGGCTGTGGACCGACTTGTGCTTTCTGTACTGTATTCACCCTATTCCTCACCACTTTCTATCGGTTGTTGGAATAGTGACGATGGGGAAACCACAGAGAAAACCCATGCCAGTTCAGTCGGCTACCGGAGCGATCTCCGACGGTTGGTGTTGGTACTATTCGAATAACCGTCGGGGATCGAACCCTTGCCTCACGACAAGATGCACGAACGAACTAACGGGATAATGACTTAGTCCGCTCGGCCATCATGCCGCTCAAAAGAAAATTATAATTAATATTTATAAAGTAGCATAAATCATTCTCTGAAGGATAAAAATTAAATTATTATTAGAGAATAATTTTTTCAATTTCGTTGATGCATTGTTAAAAAATTCGTCATTAAAATTTTGATATTCATAAATCTAAGTATGTAATTATTTCTATTATTATTAATAAAATTTTATCGTAATGTCTTTTTGTGAATAATTAAATAATTCTACTAGGAAATGAATATTTTTCTCTCAGGGTTGCATATTTTGCATAGCATTTGTGAGCAAAGATATGCTTAGTAAAAAAATCTCACATCTATTGAACGTGTATGCATCATAGGGACAATGTAAAGTTATCTTAAATGTATCAAGAATTAGAAAGCTTATTTACGACTACTCAGTTGTAGTACAGAATTTTCTTATTTACTCTATTATACTATGAATCATGAATTTTTGTGAATAGAACGGGAAGTAAAAGTCAATTAATTTTTTTTTCATTGATCACTTGTTAATATATATTCGAAAGTTTACATATATAAATTATTTGAAATATCATAATTGTCACCTGTTATCATACGTACGTACTTACACGGTATTTAATGTTAAGAAATAGACATGAAACATAAGATTAAAGGTTTCAACACGTTTTATAGCTGTATGATAAAGTGAATCCAAGTGCATTTACTGCAACCTTGTATTAATTTTATTCATACATGTATGTTTACAATCATATGTTTACTGAATTTTACTGAAATTTGTGTATTTAATAAGATAAATGGTTTATTTTCAGGGTGGAAAACCGAATCCAGCATTTATTAATGATGAAGGCAGTAAACTTGATTTGCGAATACTTGAACAAGGATTATCACCCAAAGTATGTATTTTATTTATAAATAATAATCAGTCCTCAATTTATCTTTAATAATTAACAATTAATGTATTTTTATGTATATTAGGTTGATTACGAACTTGATAATGTTGATCTCGAGCCAAATAAAGCTACACCTCCGCAAACGGTAATTATAAAAAGATTTTTTAAGTGATAGTAAAAATTTAACTTTATTTATTTAATAATAAGTTATTTATAGATGATTGATAATATTTTATAAAAATTACAGGCAACAGAAGGAAAAGAAAGACCTACATGGAATAATGGAATAGAATTTTTAATGTCATGTATCGCAATGTCCATCGGACTAGGAAATATTTGGCGGTTCCCATTTACGGCATATGAAAATGGTGGTGGAGCATTTTTAATACCGTACATAATAGTATTATTTCTTGTCGGCAAGCCGTTTTATTATCTTGAAATGATAATGGGACAATTTACAAGTAGATCGTCTGTTAAAATGTGGGCTGCTGTACCAGGATTTCGTGGTGTTGGATGGGCTCAAATGTTTTCAATGTTATCCGTTGGAACTTATTACTGTTCACTAATGTCAGTAACATTAGTTTACTTATTTGCAAGCTTTAGCTCAGAGCTGCCGTGGGCTACTTGTCAACCTGACTGGGGTAATAATTGCGTTGATTCACAAAAGAAAGAAGGAAGTAATATAACTGTACAATCTTTGGTTAATATGACCAACATGAAAAGCTCAGCTGAACTCTATTTTACGTAAGTATATTATTAATAAATTTTTATTATAATTTATTCAACTAAAAAATTAATTATTTTTTGTTACTTTTATAGGAAATCAGTTTTAAAAGAAAAAGACAATATTGATGATGGAATTGGCTGGCCAGATTGGAAGTTGACACTCTGTTTGTTAGCCTCGTGGTTATGCATTTTCAGCGTGCTAGTGCGTGGAGTAAAAAGCTCTGGAAAAGCAGCATATTTTTTAGCACTATTTCCCTATGTTATTATGATTGCGCTTCTTGTACGAGCAGTAACACTAGAAGGAGCTGTTGATGGAATTATTTTCTTCATAAAACCAAATTGGGCTAAACTGTTTGATCCCAGTGTCTGGTATGCTGCTGTCACTCAATGTTTCTTCTCACTATCAGTTTGTTTTGGTGGCGTCGTCATGTATTCATCTTATAATGAATTCAATCATAATATTTATCGGTAAGAATTTTTTATTTTAGTATTAAAATATTAATTTTTTGTAATAAGAATCAGGTGAAAACCTGACCATCAGTAAATTTTAACATAATTATTCGTTATACGACGTTTCGTCGGTTTTATTTCGATATCCTCAGGTATTTAGTTTTAACAGACAAATTAATACAATAATGTCAATACAATTAATATACGTTTTGACAGAGTATTCGAGGTAATTTTTTATTGCTTATTTATTTATTTTATTTTATTTGTTATTAGTTGCTGATGTTTGCGGATCAGTAATATTATTGACTTTGTATTATTGTATTTATATAATTTTTTAAATGATTGTATTAATTTGTCTGTTAAAATTAGATCCTTGAGGATGTCGGAATAAAACCAATGAAATGTCGTATAACGAATAATTGTGTTAAAATTTATTGATGGTCTTTTCACCTGATTCTTATTACTTATTACGTATTATATCTCAAGACCTGAAGTTTTATTATGAATATTAATTTTTTTTTTAAGTAAATACTTATGATAAATTAATTATATTTTAGAGATGTTATGGTTGTTACAACACTTGATACATTTACAAGCCTTCTTGCTGGAATTACAATTTTTGGAATTCTTGGTAATCTCGCTCATGAACTTGGTGTAGAAGATATAAGTAGTGTTGTCAAAGGTGGTACAGGTCTTGCATTTATTTCTTATCCTGACGCAATTGCAAAATTCACTGTTTTGCCACAGGTATAGTCTGAACATAAATGAATAATATTTTTCAGTGAATTTATAAACTAATATTCATTTTTATTTCAGCTGTTTTCGTTTTTATTCTTCTTGATGCTGTACGTATTAGGAATTGGTAGTGGAATCGCCCTTGCCGGTGGTATTATCAGTATTATTAGCGATCAATTTCCTCAATTGAAGTATTGGAAAGTCGTTGTGGGTGTATGTATCTTCGGAATGTGTGTTGGAAGTGTTTACTGCACGCCGGTAATTATAAAAACTCTTTCATATTTTTCATCAAGTAAAATAATTTATTTTAAACACTTCTCATGATCTTTTATATATTAATAGGGAGGACAATTTATTTTGAACCTGGTTGACTATTATGCAGCATCGTTTATTGTATTTACATTTGCATTTTTTGAAATAACTGGAATATTCTGGGTCTATGGACTTGAAAATATCCTTGATGACATTGAATTTATGATAAAAAAAAGACCGTCTATTTATTGGAGACTTTGTTGGGGCGTAATTACTCCAGTATTACTTGGAATAATATTTGTATATAGTTTAATTGATCGTAAACCTCTTGAATACAGTCATATTCTTTATCCTGACTCCGCTTATGGTATACATACATTCTTTAATAATGTTATCATCATGTAAATATTTTTTTTTTATAATAATAATTATCAATTGTAATTTTAACAGCCATTGGTTGGTCACTTCTGGCATTTGGTGTTCTTCAGTTGCCGTTTTGGATGATTTACGCAATGATGACAAAAAGAGATTTAGGAATTTTTAAGGTAAATTTGAACTTACAATTGAAAACATTATAAATTCTATAAATTGTACATTAGTTTTTTTAATAATTAAAAAATAATTATCTCTATTTACAGATGATTTCAAGTGCATTTAAACCTTCGGACGATTGGGGTCCAGAAAATCCAACGCTTTATTCTGAATGGAGACAATTCAAAGAAACTCTAAGAAAGAAAAAAGAAACACGAACAAGCTCGCATTTTAAGCAAGTTATTTATACTCTTTTCAATCAAGAAGAAAAATTGTCATAATAGATTTCAATGAAGTAATGGAAACCATTTTAAAAGAATAGATGCATATGGCAACTACTGTAAATAAAACTTTATTGCTATATTATAGCTTAGTAATTTTTGATAGTATTTTTATGAATATAGATGAAAGAAAATTACGACAACAAAAATATCTCAGCATCGATAAAATATCACTGATGCGTAATATTATCACTCGCTAGTTGAGATATCCATTTTGGACTGATAATTTTGTAAATAATTTGATAAATTGGTAATTTTAATGGTATTTTATCTTAGTAAAATTATAGTCTTCAGTATTATTAATTACAAGAATGATAAAGCAGATAAATTCTGTGATTTTTATATTAGTGGCAACTTATTTGTTTATCAAATAGTGTAACCATTATTTTAACTTCAATACCTAGAGTTTTTTCGCTTTAATAATTATTTATTTATTAATAAAATGAATCAAAGTAAATTATTTTACTTATATATCAAAAAACATAATTAATGGTATTGTATTTAATTAATGAAAAATGTTATTATTTATTGATCTAATCTAAATTAATATTTTATGAAAATATAAACTTAATTAATTTTACTATTAAACTTCATAATAAATAACTTGTTAAAAACATACAATGATTTATTCATTGGAACTCAATTTTAATTGGTATTACACAGCATGAGCGGGTAAACCAAAAATCACAGTTTAATCCCTACTCTCGACTATCTGGTCCTTTTCTCTAAAATTAAAAAAAAATATTACATATAGATCCGTATATTATGTCACAAGATAGATCGAAGTTTTAAAAATTTGATACTTTCACTACTTTTCCTTCAAATAACTTTTGAACGCGTCGAGTTATTCAATTTCTGTAAAATGCATTTGAAAGCTGAGAATTTAAGCTTCAATTTATGTGCTCAAATTTTTTTCTGAAGCAAAAAAAATTCATTTTAGGATCATTTTTAAGAAATTTTACTCTTGCAATCGTTTTGTCTATACAAAACTGACTGAAAAGTACTGAAGTACAATAATTCTTCTCTTTCTTCATTAAACGTTATTTTTTTTTGTTTTTAATCCTAGTAGTTTTTAATTTTATTCATCATGAAATCTACTTCCATTTCGGCTGCCGAATGGCCTTTTTTTTTTAAATATTGTTGAGGAAGAGATTTTATCGATTCAATGTCATGATTGTGCCGCATCGTCAGGTAAGTGCAATAGTGTAAAAATATTTTAGCTAAAACTTTTACTGTTATTCTTAACTCTATTATTTATAGTTACTGTTTGATACGAGAAACAAAAAAAATTGATTAAAAATAAAATACCTACCAATACATTCCCTTTGTCTTTTTTAAGTGGATGCAAGCACGCGATTGCTTTTATAATGTGGCTACACAGAAGATCTGAAGAACCATCACCGACGGATATTGAATGTTATTGGCGAAAATCAGTTCTATCTCAAGTTGGATCATCAATAAAATTCATTATGGTAAAAGATTTTGCCAGTACTACAGAATCGATTGCTTTGAATAAACCTTTTAATGCATTAGAAGAATTTGTAAAAAGAACAAATCAAAAAACTGTACAGAGTCAAATTTTAAAATACTTCAATGATGTAAATAACGAGCAAAGTCTTTCGATTCATAATTTATTAGTAAATTTTATTAATGAAGGAGGAACATCTTATGATGAATTTGTAACATTCAGCAAAAGTCGAATGTCAAAAGATTTGTGTGAGCGAATTGAAAAAATGACTCAAGATCAAGCAAACTGCGAGCTCTGGTTTACATTGCGCTACGGACGAGTTACTGCATCAAAGGCATATGAAGCATCACGTTGTAATACTCCGAATGGAATTTTAGTGGAGTTGTTGGGGTCGGTGGTAAAAAATTGCGGAATACAAAAGCTATGGAACGAGGCAAAAAATTAGAAGCAATGGTTTTACAACAAGTTGAACAGAAGATGAAAAAAAAGTTTAATAAATGCGGTTTATTTTTATCTGAAAAATATCCTTATCTAGGAGCTTCGCCTGATGCTATTGACAACGAATTTGTTATTGAAATTAAATGCCCAACGTCAGACAAAAGTGCTCGTACATATATTGATATTAATAATTACGATAAAGTAGCAATGAAGTACATAACGCAAATGCAAATGCAAATGCTTTTTGCCGGAAGAAAAAAAGCGATGTTTGTTGTTGCAGACCCGAACTTCGAAGATACAAAAGCATTTAAATCTATTATTATTAATTACGACTCACAATTAATTAATAAATTATTGGAAGATTTGAGTAAATTTTGGGAGAAATGTATTTTTAAACGATTATTTAATTCTTTATACAAAACAGAGCAATAAAATTATTAAGATCAAAAACGTATTATTTTAAGACACTTGTGTGTTTTGAATGTTTATAGATAAATACATAAGCTTATTTACTGTGAATAAAAAAATTTTGTAAAATAATTAATATTATATTTTTAATTAATCTCTAATGTGACTTATGTTTTTTTTATCAGTGGGTCCTTGTAAATTTGTTAAAGCAGCGACGATCGTGATAATAGTATCCATTTGCGGAATCAATTTAACATTAACACATGAATGAGGTTCACAAATATGAAATTCTCTGATTCTTCTTATTAACCTTTCAATGTAAATTTGAAGGCTAGCGATTCGTTTCGTCGCAATAACCATCATGAGTTGGTTGCTTATTAGAGCTTACTGTAGGAGGTCTAATCAATGTACATTTTTTCGCAACTACTAAATTTTCAATATGTTTGAAACCTCTATCTGCTAATGCAGCTGCACCTGGCTTTAAATAATTCAAGTATCCAGAGTTTGAAACTATTTCTGCATCAGATGCTCTACCACCATAACCTGGTGATATGAAATTAACTATACCATCTGGAGTACAAGATACTAAATATTTCACAGTATTACATTTTTTGTATTCTGACCATGTCAATGATTGTTTAACTGGGTCTGTTGGCTTTTCAATTTCAATTTCCAAACAATCAATGATCGATTCAACTGCGGCATAACGACTCCTGAAACTCATTGGCAATTGTTGTTTAATTTTTGCAGATGAAGGCCAAATAATGAAGTCTTTTAAATACTCAGTTATGATTGGCAAGGTCTTAGTAAATGTATGACTTACATTAGAAGTAGACATCCCAAAATCATCCGCTAAAATAGCAAAACTTTCATTTAGTCTTATTTTTTTTAACGTGAGAAAGATTTCAACATCACTTAATTTAGCAGTCCGTAAAATATCGATACTATCCATACAAATAATTGTTTTTAATTACCACTTCGTATTATATATTTTTGCTACATTATAACTCGTACTTTGTGGAGCATTGTTTCGACGTACCAACAAATTTCCAACTGTCGCCGTAAAAGCCTTTTTTATCATATGTGAACATAAATTAGGTAAATACTCCTATAAAATTAAAGTATAAATGTATTTTTTATTATTTTTTTAATAAATAAAGTTAACCAATAATTAATAAAACTTGATGATACCACATACAAATTTTACCTTAACGTTTCCAACCTTTTATTTTGTTTTTTTTTCAAACGCACCGTTTGTATTATTTAAATAAACGCTCAAAACGCTCCAAAATCCATTCCACTTGAGTTAATGATTGTGACGCCCAGAACCAAGTGGAACGGCAAAAACCGTGGTCGTGAGCGTGATCCTTGTGAGTGCTTAGTGGAACGCACCCTAGATATCTAGGGGCGAACCACGAGTTAACTATGTGATGCTTTGGATTGCGTCCAGCAGGTGACACTACTTGTCGCGAAGCGCGAATTCAAACATTTTTTCCGGGTTAATACTGTAATTCTAGTTCTACACGCCTTATAGAAATAGTAGAGAAAAAATTGAACTATTATTGTTAAGAAAAAATAAAATTATTGTAAGAAACCGAAAAAAAATTGATACAACCTATAAAAAACCAAGTGTGTATTTACCGTAAGCAGAACGGTATTTTGAGGTTGCAAATTTTTTTTCAAATTCATTTGGATTTCTTATTTATATGATGTTTTATATAATGGTAACAGTACCCTGATAGCTACAGTTTCAGACCAACCAAGTTGGTGTCAGATAGTTGCCACCAACTTACCGACAACTTGCGGTCAACTTCCGAATTTGAAACTGTTGGCGTCAAGTTAGCTACAAGTTTCTGAGAAAAACAAGACCAATCTACTGCCGCAATATGTCGCCAAATTTCTCGAGAAACTTGTCGTCAACTTGGTGCGAAAGAGTTTCGAAAACAATTTTTGCCGACAACTTGGCGACAACTTGGTGAACAACCGAGTTCATTTCCAAGACTTGCCGCCAACTTGGTGACAAGTTGC